GATCAAACCAATGGTCTGTCACTTAAGTGGTTTATATCGTGCTGCTGGTGTGAGCTGCCTAAATTTCTAGCTGTTGCATTTCTTTTTCTGCATGAGAATTACATAAGGACCATTAAAAAAAAAAAAAAAAAGTGCTGTTCTTCTGAAGTGATTAATTCCAGTTCTTGTCTGGCAGGTGTCTCTTTTTCAAGTACTGCACTGAGGAAACACTGGCACATCCCTTTTGTCTCTTCTTTCTTTTCCCTTGAGCGACCTCTCCTGTTTCCTTTGCATCTGTCCTGTGTTGGTGAGGCTGCTCTATAGTACGTAACTCATTTCACCCCCAGTCTCATCATAGCTTGGGAGAAAGTGGAGAGAAGTTCTTTCAGCCTGGAACAAGTGCTGCCATGATCATCTCAGCAGCTGTGGGCCGGTAACAATGGAGGGATCAACGTACCTGGCTGCAAGCAGCAGCAGCCTGATTCGGTGGTTGGTTTTTGTTTGTTTGTCATGAGGTCTGGGGGACATGCAGGCATGTGTGCTGAGACAAACTCATGTCACTTCTGATCCATTTCTTCCTTGCTCAGATCTTGGGAGAGTCAAGCCAACTGGGTGCAGTGTGCAAACTGCGGGGCTTTGCTGGGCACCCTCTAAGGCAGAATTAAAATCAGGAACTACTTAGAACCCCCTTGAATTTTCGTACCGTGATCTGATGCCAGACGATCATTTTGTCATCCAGGTTGGCATATAGTTTCTGCTAATGCTGCCTTTTGTCACCTGTTACAGCATTTCTATTCTTAATGCTATTCATGGGCACTGCTTCTAACAGCACTTTTTCTTGCCCTGCCAATTAAGTCCAAACTGGTGTCCTCTCTTCCCTTCCTTCTCTCCCTGCTTCTGGTAGTGCTCTCTTGTCTCCCTCCTGCTTGCAGGTTTGGGCTGGGTGAGGTGCCTCAGAAGGCTGAACAAGAAGAAACCACCCAGCCTTCTTCCTCCCTCACACAGAGCAGGAGGACTTTCTATTTCTGTTGTGTCCCAGTTTAGCTCTCAGCACTGATGCTGGGCTAAGACATGATACATGTCTTATGACATGTGTTGAGTGAGCCTTGATTCACAATTGGGACTTCTGTGCAATAAAATAAAAATGTTCTTTGCTTCCTCCTTATGCTTAATAAAAAAGAAATATTGTGATGTTTGCCTATGTTTAGCATGTCTGCTGCCTTGCCATTTTGGAAGTTGAACCATCCCTATTTTTAGAGCTGAGCTTCCTGTTTGATCACTCTTTAAGTTTGTCCTTTGCTTAATACAGTACAACTCTTCCAAAAATAAATAAAAATCTTAGTTAAACTGAGATAGTTCTGCTAAAAAAGTCATGTTCCTGCCTAGATATAAACTGCAGCAAATCCTCTTTGGATGAACGCTGTAACAAAAATCAAACCTCTCTAAAATATATATACCTATAATGTTAAAACACGAAAAGGAAGTTGAACAGTGACCACAGCAACGTATCAGTTATCTCAGTGCTTTTGTCTACAAGTGCATTTAAAACCAGTTGTATATGTGGGAAAAGCAACCAGACCAGCTATTCAGATTAATTGCCCATAACGCTGTTGTTCTTCTGCAATAAGCATTCTTAAGCTTAGCTCGTCCAGGCTAGAAAACAACTATCTTATCCTAGGGTAGCGGCATGCAAAGTTTCAAGTACTTCATGATAGCTGGTGTGTTTTAGCGTCGTAAGTTACCTTAGTCCAAAATAACCTTTGACTGTAGTTACAACTTTACCTAAGTATTAATCAGCATGTTTTGGAAGTTTGCTGTAACTACAGCTAAATGTGTCTCAAGCTCCTCCTGTAGAAGCTTGGAAACTTTTTTTGTGTGGCTTTCTATGGCTCAGGTTTTATCTCAAAGAATTGCTGGAAATCACACTTTAATATCTTTACATCTATGCAAAGAAAAAATGGCTTCTACATAATGCCACTGAAACACATTATTTGCCATGAACCTCTTTTAGTCTTATCGTGTTAAGGTTTAAGACTTTGCTAGCTCAAGCTCTTCCTATAGACATGCTCTGAATGAACCTTTTGTTGTACAAAGATATCTAGCAGCACGGGTTATTGCAGGTTGGCACTTCTACAACAAATGGCAGAGCTGCTGAGGATGGAAGATGAGGAAGGTGCTTGTTGGGCGCAGGTAGCCTTGCGTCTCTGTAAGAAGGAAATAATCTGAACCCCACTGAAAGGCTCCTGGTGTGGGAAAGGCTCCAGTCTGGGGCTACAGGAGGGCAATGGCTGGGGCCTGTGCTGTGGCGGGGAAACTATGGGTGGGAGAACCACTATGGGGGCACGGAGGTGTGTGGAAGTGTCCAGATGGACTCTTGCTGCCACTCATTCTTCTGTGTCCTCTGGAGGATCTCAGACGTGGGATGCATTTCTGTAACTAAATTTGTCCTGATGCTGGTTCTGAAGCATGGGGAAATCTCATTAGTAGCTCTATTTGAGCAAGGTCGTTCTGCTCTGATTCTTGTCCCTCTAGCCAGTGCAGGCTATCACGTATCTGTGCTCTCCAGCTCAGAAGCTCCAGAGGGACTGACTGGGATTCAGGTCAAAGTTGCAACTCTAGGTACAATTAACCCACTAGTGAAGCCAGCAGGCTTCCTTAGGCTCTGCCAAAATCCTGCGTTGCAATCTGGGGATGTTTTTCCCTGTAGAAGAGTAAAGATCAAGAGGGAGCAGCAGACCTGGCCCTCAGCATTCAAAGTTGCTTTCTGACTGCAGGCATCAAGCTGCCTGTTATGCGCAGATCTTAATTCTGTCACAAATGGTTAAAATAGTTCCCCAAGATAGCTTTATCCTCTTGATGTGGACAGGCTTAGTAATAACTGGGAAATGGTAAATTGCACACAGTAAATTGCACGCAGCCTCAGAAACTCTGCCTGAACTCACATCTCTCAGCCTCTGTGTGTTCCTCTCTCTTGTTCTTCACCGGTCTCCCTTTCTGGATAATATTTAACCTTCTCCTAGGGGCAGGAAATAGGTGGGACAGCTGAATCTTTTCAGGAGAGAAGAGGAAAAAGAGCTGGCGGTAAGCCAGAGCCACGGGGAAGTGGGCAGTGAGCTGAGGCTGTGAACCTGTAATTATATGTCTCAAATTTTGCAAGCGGTGCTCCAGAAATCATTATGCACAGGGTGTTTGGTAGCGCTGTGGTTTAAAAGAAAAACAGCCCCTCTAATTACTCTTTAATTCAGAAGTCAAGTGACTGTCGATTCACATCTTAGCTCTTCTGCTTGTAATTGATAATCAGGTACATCTGACAACCCTGTTATTGAACTGGGCCTCATATTTTTAATTCATCAGGTAACTGCTGATTTTCCTTTCAGAAAGGGTAATTGAGAGGCTGTATGAGGTCGCTTCCAGTGCGGCTGAGATCAAACCTGGATTGTACTATGGCACGTCTCAGACTGCCACAAAGCCCTTCAGATTCAATTTTTCAGTATCAAAGTGCTTAACCCCTGTGGGCTGTGGTCTCTGCTTTAATCCTCAGGCTGTGGAAGCCAGCAACCAGGCTGGTGCTAATTTAGGGGCTGTTTAGTAGGACTTTCCCAGCTGATACCCTGATGAGTGGAAAACAAACTTTCCCCCTAGAAGGTAAAGTTAACAGTTAAAAAAACAACAACAAAAAGTAAGTTAAAAAAAAAAAAAAAAGGCAAATGGAAACTGGGTTTTGTGTATTGTTTCAAACGTGCAAATACCAGATTTAAGCATGTTTGTGCTTTTTCATGCGTAACTGAGCTCTCTCCCCATCCTGCCTCAAGGTGGCAACACTACGTGCAGTCCTGAGTTCTGACTGAGGAATCAAATCCCATTTTGGTGGTGCTGCAGTGGAGTCTGACTGACAGCCCAGTGAAACTACTCCAGACTTACACTGTATAAATTTTTCTTTTTGATTACAAAGCTTTATGGTCTTGAGTTCCTTCCCAGAATCATTATCACATCTGTCACTGTCACTGCTATCAGAGGCTAAGGATGTTTTTAATGGAGAAATGAAATCCAAACTATCATTCTTGCTGAAATACTGCTCCTAAGCACACAATAGGCCAGGTGCTGCAATTATTAATAATTCCCTCTGATGGCATAATATAGGCTCTCCGTTTTGTTTTAGTACAATTTACTTAGAGTTATTTCTTCAGCGATGGAAATTGTTTTGGAGTGATTTTTTGGAAGCGCTGCAAGTTTGTTTGCTGGAATCCTTCTCTCCTGGAAATGAGGCATGTCTCTCACAGGCTCCCTTTTGCTCACACACAAATGAACTGCTAATTAAGATGATGAAATTGCTGAAAGGGGTGAAACCTTCCACTTGGCCAAAGAGAAGATTGTGGATTAATCTGTATAAAGCTGAAGGCTCGATTAGAAACTGCTGTTCAACATTTTGGTGCTAATGAGACTTGCATGTCTGCCACTCAAGAAGCTGCAAGTATGTCCTGTGGTTTTGTGTAGAGACCCAAAGTGAGCACTTCTGCTGCTTTCATCTCCACTGGTGATGACTGGAATTGAGAATACACAGCAATCAGTATCAGGTGTGCAGCAGTTCATATCATCTGCTTATGCAGACTGCTTCTTATGGTAACTTTTGTACATGGCCAAAAGCATCTTGAGAGGCATATGAGAGGCATGTTTGCAAGACTGCACGGTATGGTTTGGAGAGCTAGTTGTCTTGCATGCCCCCTGCTACCACATTAAATCAGTTCTTCACAGATTTTAATGTACTCCTGCTCGTCTTGTCTGTGTAAAGGAGGGAAGAACTCTCCATCTCTCTGGAGCAAAGGCAACAGATGACTCGCTCAGTGTCATACTGGGCACAAAGTCTTGTTCCAGGTTAGTTACCTGCTGACTGAGCTGCTTAGGACCTGGGGAGGTACCGACACTGTTCTGTTGCCCTCTAAAAACAGCTTCCCTGCAGTTGTTGAGAACTTACACATTTAAAATAAGTCAAGTGTTTTAGGAGCATTTCTGTGCATTTGCAGGAAGTCGTCGAATAGTGGATGTGATGGATGTGAACACGCAAAGAGGTGTTGAAATGAGCATGTCCCAGTTTGTGAGATACTATGAAACGCCAGAGGCCCAGCGTGAAAAACTCTACAATGTCATCAGCTTGGAGTTCAGTCATACAAAGCTGGAGAACATTGTCAAGCGTCCCAATGTGGTAAGGGATCCTGCTTACTTTCAGCTTCTTTCCAATAAGCAGTTGCTTTGTAGTAAATAATAGAGCTGGAAGATGCACACTAGAAAGAAAGTAACGTAACTCTTGTAACTCTTGTCTGTTTAGGATCTCATTTTCCACTGTCTCCTTGGTGCTGGAACTTAATCTACAGGAATTAGGTGCCTGATGAGCTCTTAATCATGTGATTTGTACTGACATCCAATTCTTTTGAATGTATTTAGGGGAAACTGCATTTAAAATTAAATACCTGTCTATTGTCTTATGGTATTGTGTAAGTGTTAATGTGCAAATACAACCTAATCCAAAATAACAATAGAGCTATTTTGTAATGTAAAATATAAAGCTATTACTACCCTAAAGAAAGCAGTCTTAGTCTATGACTTGCTGAAGAAGGAAATTGTGGATTATCTCTAAGGAAGAGGAAATTTAAAGCCATAACCTAGGAGCTTAAATTCCTTCTACAGACCCTCTTGTTCAGTGCAAAAACGTTCAAGGGAACCAAAGCAAAGAAGTTGAAAACACATGTATTAAATATAGAAATTTACACAAAATTAATTTGTCATAATTACTGCATGGTCAGAATTGGCATCATCAGAGGAAGAAAGCAGATTTGTATGCGTTTTGGAAAAGTGGGTGACTCTTGTAACTTCATGGAGTTACTAGCAGTGAAACTGTGACCTTGTTAATAAAGATAATTTCATTTATTACTAAAAAGTAGCCATACGTGAGTGAGGATGACAGCATCAGCTTGTTGTACACAGTGATACAGTGGAGGAACTGGCATTGGAGGTTTCACAGTGTCTCCTCCGGACACTCGACAGAGAAATTTGGGCATTGGTCCTGGTTGATCAGAGAACAAAGAGACTTCTCAGAGCAGAATGAGTGCTGCTTGTTCCACTGAGCCTGTTTCTGGCACTGAATGTTCGTGGTGCTGCAGAGTGTAAAACTATAGCCCTATGGTGCTTTGCTGTCAGCCACTTTTCTTGCAATTTCTAAGTGCTATTGCAGCTGTAGTAGTGGTTGGTTTTGTTTGTTTTTGTTTTTTTTTTTTCACTGGGGACATCTCTTGCATTTGCAGGCAATATAAATGCCACACTTATGCCCGAACTGGTGAAGAAAAAAAAGTAGATGGCAGACTTTATAGCTGATTTATGGAAGTAATTATTGAGTAGGGTTTGTGTTCTGTTACATGTGTGTCACAAATTGAATATTAAGCACTTATTCAGAAGTTTACACAGGTTTTTGCTGTCATTCAGACACTAGCCAGGCAGTTTTGGAAGTGCTCTGGGGAGTTTCTGGTGTTCACTTGATCCCGATTTTCCCAACACATCATTCTCAGCGAGCTTTTAAAACATCTGTGCTAATTTCCTGGGTGCTCAGGACTGAAACATGCAATTAGGTCCCTGTTACCCCATGTAAATTAATTTTTCATGTTTGTTTAATTCAGCCTGAGTGTAAAGGGGTTTGTAAAACCAGCAATATTTAGATCTCACTGGAAGAGTGCTCTTTCAGCACCCTTCAGGTGCTGCAGTGGGAGATACAAGAAGGTGCCAGGGACTGTGGGGAAGTCCAGTCAGTACATAAAGTCAGATATTAACCAAATACTGTATTTGTAGGAGTAAATCCTGTGAGTGCTGCAGAGCTATTTCAGCCCACAAGGCAGAAGTACTTGACTTTGTGTAAAGGCTGTGGGTTGCAATATCAGCATGTGGGGATTATTTCAGAACTGGGGCAGTAATCATCAATTTTGTTTCCACATACAACTGTGATAGTCACGAATTGGTGCTACTTCTACTGCCTCTTCTCCAAGTACTGCTTGTTAACAACAGTACCTGGTGCAGATGGAGAAATAGATGAGCAACAGCCCAACCTGCAAGAATGTCACGTGCTAAATGCAGCATTATGAAATGCTCTGAAATGAAATGCAAGCCTTTGGGTCAGCTCATACAAATAATCATTCTTGCACGGGCCTTTTAAAATATGCAGCAGTCAGGATGCTAGGTTGAGTGCTGCCCATGGCAGAACTGTAGCTCTCAGTTCTTGCTGCACACAATGGGAGGAGAGGTGACCAACAAACACCTCGGATAGGTCTCACGGCCCTTCTTGGCCCATAGACAGCACGGCAGGAGTTTGGAGCTGTGTCGGGATGTGCAGCCACACTGTGGCCAAATGCCGCACTACAGCCTGCCTGGTTGGACTTCCCTCCTTCACTGGAGTTAGCCGTTTTGAAAGCTGGTGTGCGTGGTCCACTTGTGTAATCAGCAGGGAGTGTGACGGACACCAAGGACATCACCAAAAACACCAACCAATGAGATGCAGGCTCGACCTTACTGATGGTCAGCTAATGCTCTGGCACCCAGGAGAGATGTGTTAAAATGTCCCTACCAGGCACCAGGTTCCACCTCCTCTTCATCTTGCTGGTAAAGTCTTTCTCGCTGTTCTCTCCTGCCATGCTTCCTAGAAGTTTGGCATTTGAACAGGAACTTCGATGAATCTTAATCTGAAGTAGAACACTGGAGGAGATGATGATGTAATTACTCAAATCAGAATGTGGTCAGAAAATGGGTTTAATGTTCCTTGAAATGGAACGTATTGGAAAAATGTAATTTCTTTTGTGCTTGTGTTTTAATGTTCATAAATGCAGTTTCTGGGATCTTGGTTACAAAAAAGTGTGCCTGCTACTCATCTGCTGCTGACCCTATTGAAGTTCCAGCCAACAGGGGTACATCCTACAGTGTGTTCAGTGACTAATAGTTGATTTTTGGGGCTTCCAGGTGGACTTAGTCGACTGGGTGGATAATATGTGGCCACAGCATTTGAAGGAGAGACAGACAGATGCTACCAATGCTATTTCAGAGATGAAATACCCAAAAGTGAAGAAGTAAGTTTCTTTAAATGTTTTCCTCTTGACCTCCTGGTTTAATTCCTTTTGAACTCAAAAGCAAGAAGCAAAGAAAATCTTTATTTATTTATTTTCCGTGAGCAGGAAGAGAAATTGATGTGATTGATCTGTTTAAGCACTGCAATGCTGATAGGCTGCTCCAGGTTTGAAGGAGAACAATTCTGTGCTTGAGAATTTTACAATGGATGCTTCATGATTTAAAGCTTGTGTTTGGGATCTTTAGGAAAGGAATTATGTATGTGCATGCCTCTTAAATTTCCCGATGCAATTTTTCTAAATATTTTCAACTGAGAAATAATCTACAATTTGAGTACATTTTCAGTCCAATCCCTTTAAAAAGTACCTTTTCATTTCTGTTTTCAGCAACTGTTTTGAAAATGACAGACTACCTCTGATCTTAAATGATAAAGATGTGAGAGTGGTCAAATGCTGTAGCAGGCTTCCTACTGAGGTGACTGATGTCCCATGCCTATCAGTGTTCAAGAGGTACTTGGACAATGCCCTTAACATTACTTTATCTGTTGGTTTGCCCTTTAGTGGGAAGTTGGACTCAGCGATCTGTTGAGTTCCCTTCCACCTGAACTATTCCATTCTCCAAAAGCACTGGCCCAGAAAGCCCCTTCACAGGATACAGATGTCTTACAATTCATACAGTAAAATCAAAGCCCTTCTGTAGGCTGGATTCAGATCCTTCCCAGGTTCTAAACTACTAATGGCTGAAAAGTTGTCAGCTGATGCTTTGTGAAATGAGCTTGCAGTCCACTGTTAATAGGCGTGGGTCTCCCTCAGAGATTTGTTTCTACCACTCATGGCAGTTTTCTTACCTGCTGAAGTTCCCAAGCATTGGACTTGCTGCATACACTGTATTTCTGGTGGCAGAAGACCCTCTCAGAACAGGTTTGATGAGGATCACAGGTAGATTGTCCTTCTTCTGCCAATCCCAGTTGTAGTCTTTGGATGAATTTGCTACTATGAAATCACCTCAGTGCTCCTTCTGTTTGAATGTCTCCCTCTTGGAATTGTAGTGGCTTATTTGTTTTTGCTTTTTAAATATTTGGAATAAAGATTAGAGGAAACATACCACTTTTGGAGGCCTGAAAATATGCATTGTAAGAAGTTTCATAGGAATAAACAACAGAAATTGGATTTATTGCTAATAATTTTAACAGCTGTTGACTTGTGTGGCCAGTGAGCAGCAGATAATCCTGGAAGCACTAAATTGACTTCACTGCTGTTTCTGTTTTAGAGGCATTTTCTATTGGCCAGACCTAATGCTGGCAGCGTCTCACACTCTGTTGTTGAACCAACTTCTAGCGCTCTGCAAATTGCTTAGAACTGCTTCCAAACTGTAATGTCTAAAATAGATTGATACTAACATATACAAAGAAGTGTGCAGTCCATTTTGCATCATTTTGTCTCTTATTCCATAATAACAAATGTTTCGGAAGGTGCAGGTCTCCATAACAGGAGAGGCGTTGTGGCACGCATTGGGGGGAAGCCCTGTCCTGCAATTTGCTGAGCACACCGATTTCAGTAGAAGTTAAAGGTACTGTATCCTGAATAAGCAAACTGCTTGTTAGGGTCGTCAGATATGGATAAGAGTGCCAAGTTTCACACATGCATCTGGAAATGTCCTGTGTGATTTGCTAAAGTTGTGCAGTCAGAGCGGAAAATAGAACTCGGGCAAATTGTTTCTGCTTCCCAAGTGATTAGTCCACTAAACAACATGCTTTATGTATAATAAGTTAAAACTAAGGAACAGAATCATGTTCTTAAGATCTTCAGGATTCCTGGGCTGTACAAAGAAAGAAGCAAGGAAAACCGTCCCTTACCTGGAGCAGGCGTGCTCCAGATCCTGAGGAAAAAATGCAGTCAGTAAACAAATCAAGGCAGAGATGGCTTCAAGGATAGGGTAACAACATGACTAACAGAATTTAGCAGAAAAAGCAGAGTGTGTTCTTGCAGTTCACTACTTGCATCATGAACTGCCAGATGGTAGGTTTCAAGGAGGGATTTTTAGAGAAGTAGCAATTCAACAGATTTTGACATGGAGCTTTTCCCATGTGTGGGGGGTGACCTGTTAGAAAGAAGGGATGCCTGTTCAAGAAGTAGACATGTAACCATAGAGGTTGCTGCCACTAGCAAAGGGAAGGTAGAGGTTGGCAGCTTGATGAACTAGTAGATGTGATAGGTAAATGGAAGTTAAACACTGAAAGACTAGGTGCTTGAAATGTGAAAATGGAGTTTGTTGTGGGGAAAGAGAGTTACTGTGCATAAGAGTTAAAGGCAAGCATGATGCAGCTGGAGTGAGAGGGTTATTTAGTGAGCATCATCTAGCAGAAAGGGTGGAGAAAAATTATTTACAGCACTGGTGGCACAAAATTTTTATTGGTCTGCAGAAGCAACAAAGATAAATTTAAAAGCAAATATTGATAGTCTAGGAGTGCCAGAGAAGTTGTCTCGGATGAGGACAAAGCTCCATGGTGCTCGGTAACCTGTCTGCTGTTGCCTGCTGTCATAGCTGCTCTGGGGAGAATGGGAAAACAGCATGAGCATAAAATGAAGCAGCCCCTTAATAGACTTCTGAACTTCCACTGTAAGCAGTTCAGGCAGGGACTTCTTGAGCTGGAAGTGGTTTCTGTGTGCTTAGTGACTCTCAGGAGATTTTTCTTCTTTAAACTTGTCCAGTTTAAATATGAAATCCTCAAGAGATTAGCTTTCTCCATCTCTGGGAATTCACACTGCCCCTTTCCTGTATAGATACCAGTCCCAGCTATTGCTATGAGTGCCCAGAGGGCACGAGCCCTTATTAAAGAGATTGTGTTCAATCATGGAGCTAAATGTCAGTGCTGTCACTTGTTTCCTATGTCCCGTTTGTTTCTGCGAATCTCCTGTATTCGTATTCTATAATTCTGACTGCTGTTGCTTGGAAATTGGATTGTTTCATTTCATTTTGGTTTTTAGCGTTCTCATAATACTGACTCTGCAGTATGCCATACCCACCATTAACGTGTTCCCTACAAACAAAAAGCACTCCAGCGAGCGCGTTGCAGTTTTGCAGACACAGATGGCATTACCAGACACAAATGTCTGTCTTGGCTCCTGCACATCGAGTTCCGTGCTGGGAGTGAAGTTAGAGAACGCTCCATCTGCTGCGCTGCTTCGGTTACTAGGAGTGCTACACGTGCTGGAGGCTGCTGTGGCTTTCACTTGGATTTGCACCATTAACTTAAAAAAAAAAAATCAAAAATCAGGGTAATGAGGTCATTCATCTGTCTGTAAGTAAATGACTACTTTCCTAATAAGAGCCTTAGAGGACTGAATTAAGTGAGGAACAGTTTATGTCAAAAAAATAAGTAGAACTTTCCAAGCACTGCATCTTAAGCAGCAAGAAAACGTGAGAAGTTAGGTACTGGCCTGCTGAGGTGGTGGTGTGACAAAATTCAAACTGATGTAAGTTGGCATTGCCCCTGAAAAACTGTCCTGTGCCCATATTGTCCATCTTTACTGCCAGAACATGCTGTTATACAGCTGCAAAGTAAACTGGACTAGAAATTGGTCTGGCTGAAAATCGACTCAGAAATAAAGAAAAATTGGTCACTTTTTAGGCCATTCCAGCCATCACATGATTGCTTGGATGTTTGTGCCAAGTGAGAAGCAGTGCAAGAGCACGACAAGATCACGGCAGGGGGATTGCAGGCAGAGTCCTTCTGCAGTTCATGCGAGGTGCAGATCTATGTGGTGCTGGGAGAGCAAACAGCAGCTCACTGCTGCTGAGATCACAAAGCAATGGCAGCAAAATAGCAACTGTGCCAAGCCTCAATCACTGCAGCAGCCTTCTGGCCTTAAAAATTCTTCTTATTAGAATGCCTACACACTGCTATAATAGATCTCTAATATCATTGCTGTCCTTCAATAAGGGATGATATAGGGGGATAGGACTTGATCTCTTGAGGTCCCTGTGATTGTGTGATTTTACATGAAACATCGACTTGTTCACAAAAGGGTGCTGCTCTGTTACAATACACTGTTAGCCCTGTTTTTCCCTCTGCTAGGCAGTTATTCAGCCATCCATTCCTTTCTATTCATTAATTCCTTTGCTAAGTAGAGATGGATTTAAGCAGATGCTAAAATGTTCCATGGAGCTGTGGTCTAATTAGAAGCTGAGGGTGCGCCTCTGGGGACAGAAACTGCCCTTTGAACTGAGGGAGCTCGCAGGTCCCACAAGGCAACCTGGTGCTGTTTAATGCATGCGTGATACTTCTGTGCACAGTGTGTGTCATTTGTGAATTGTTTTGGATACAAAACTGCCCCACAGATATAATTAAGTACAAGAAACGGAGGCCAGTAAGCACGAGTTCTCAAACTTCTTAAGCTAGCCAGGCAAATAAAACTTTATGTCTTCAATTTGATACATTAGAGTCAAATCCTCCCTTGTGTACAGCTTGGAGGACTCGCAGACTCACACGTACAGCTGAAATAAATGCTGGTCTTTGAAACTCCTTGTGGTGTAGCTGGGCAGCCATGTCACAAAGATGGAGAAATGCACTGCATCTGCAGATGCCAGAACGCTATTCCAGCTTCATGTGCTCGCAGGGCAGACAGGCCATGTTTTTGCAAATTGGCAGGTTGGTTCATTTCTTCACAGCCATCGCTGCCTTCTCAGAAATTTAAGCTTCCAATTAAGAGAGAGGCCTCTCAGTTCTTAAAGTTCAAAGGTAACCTCCCCAGCATTAGCGGAACGCACGCCATAGCGGTGAGGTTTGCAGTCAGTCTTGAAATGGTAGCTGGGTGCAGCTCTGCTGTTCCTCTCTGTGAGCTGTCCCTGCCAAAATCCGATGGCTGGAATGTAAATAACTCCTTCCTCGTGAGGTCCCCACATGCAGCAGGAGGCAGGCTGGGATCAGGAGCACAGCGGTGCCTTGGTGCTTCACAGCACCTTGGATGGGAGTGGGGCGAGGTGGGACCAGGTCGGCATCAACTGCTCTCTTTGCTACGGTGTGATCTGGATTTCTGGTTGCTTTGTAAAATCTCTAGTGCAAAGTGAGGCCGTCTCTTATCTGGTACGTTGTTTCTGTCTGCCTGACTCAGCCTGTAACCCCCTCAGGGCAGGCACCAGGTCCTTTATGTGCTTTTGAAGTGCCTGCCGCACGCTCCACCTTTAATGATTAGTTCCTTCGTGGTCTGGAGAGGCGATGCTTTGCCTGAAGAGCTCCTCACCTCAGGCCCTGCTCCTAGCAGGGGATCCGGGGCTGTGGGCTTCGCTGTGCCCTCGGAAGGTGGAGCTGGCCCCGAGGCTGCAGGTGGGTGCCCGTGCCCTGCTAGCGGGCTGGAGGTCCCCAGTCTACGAGGGGAAGCCAGGGGGAAGCCGGGGAGCCCTTTCCGTGAGGGTCCCATCACGTGGGGGGAGGCCACGGGCCTTCTACGAGGGGAAGACGGGTCCCCCTGTCCTCGTGAGGGACCCGAGGCCCTCGGGCCTCCCGCAGGGGCTGCGGGCGGGGTCGGCGCAGCGGGGGCCGGTGGGGCCTGGGCGGGGGTGGGGCGGCGGAGGACGGCAGAAGGGGCCGCGAGCTCTGGCCCCGTGTGTGCCGGGTGACAAAGGTTCCTTTTGTCTGCCGGCGTAATTTGTGGCTTTCGGTTACGGGGCCCCCGCGCGGGAGCGTGGCTCGGGCCGTTAGCGTTGCCCGGGGCGGAGGTGAGGGGCAGCGCGGAGCCGCTCCGTCCTGCCCGCCGCGGGGCCCGCTTCTTCTCCCCGCTTTGGCTCTCGCGGTCGGCTCATGGGTTTGTGGTATTCGGTTTCAGGCTTAGGGATTTCAACCAGCCGGCGCTGCTCCTGGGAGGAAGGAAGAGTGAGCTATACTTTTCTCATTGGCCCGAACAAAAAACAGAAGCCTCTGCTGGGGTTTGGGAGTGGTTTATGGGCTGAGCTCAGTGGCAGGGGAGCCCTCGCAATGCCAGAGGGAATAGAGCCGTATGGTGCACGATACCTAATGCGAGAGAAAAGGAGCTGAGCTCAGGGTAATGCCGCCTGCGTGTGCTCACGCGTCTCCCCCGAGTCCGTGTGCATGTGCATTTCCCTGCCTGCGCGCGTGCCTGCGCCCGTGCGCGTCTGCATCCTGCCGTGTCCGCTGCTGTCTTTGTTTCGCTGTTTGCTTGTGGGTTCGGAGCGATGCGTGGCGAGTGCATTGTGGGTTTGCCTGCCAGCGTGGTGCGTGCGGAGCAGCGGCTCCGTGTTGTTTCTGCCTCCGTCTTGCTTGGTGGTTGCCTTCCTCTGGATCATCCCCCGTGCTCGTTTTGGGGGATGATCTTCCCTGTGAGTTCACAGCTTACTCCATGTTTCTCTGCATCCTTTCACTAATGGTTTTACACAGATTTTTTTGGGGGAGGAAGTTCTTTTTTCCCTTATATCTTAGACCCTTCCTCCAAAATAACAGTGTGTTAACCTAAACAATTCCCGGCTGTTGGAGCATGAAACAAACTCTGGTGGGGAAGGGAGGCTCTCTTATAGGAGATTACAGGCAGCTGCCTGGCGGTGGAAAGCCCACGCTGGTGCTATGCAGGGGTTGGACGTGGTGGAGAACAAGTGGAGTGGGGCATCCTTTGCATCACCTGTGCTCTCAGGGCGTACCTCTGACATTGTGTCCCCTCACACTGCTTGGGGTTGTGCTCCCATAACCCATTACCTGCTGCGGCCCTGCATTTCTATCAGTGCAGTTACCGTGCGACAGCTCTTTTTTAATAATAATAATTACTATTGCGGGTGCGCGCAGTACAAAAAAACCTGAAAAGTTGCTCCTTTCCCCACAGCAGCAGCAGCTGCTGGAGCAGCGGTGTGTGGGGCTGCGCGGGGCCATGTGACTGCGGCGCGTTGGGAAGGAAGCGCAGAGGTCAATGCAAAGGCATTGTGCCAGGAGGGCTGCGGGCTGCGGCCCCTCCGTGCTGCGGGGCCGGACAAAAGCGGCCTGATGGGGTGGGTGAGCAGCAGAAACCAAAGGGGAGCTACGCTGCGTAGTGGCTCCTTTGTGGATGGGATGAAAAAAGGTGTTTTTGTAGTTGAAAATGAGCTGTATGTTTTTGTTAACCACCATTTGCCTGGCTCGTGGCACCCACCTGGATTGGAATGGAGGTTGTGTGTAGAGAGCTGCAAGAAATCAAAGGGAAATGGACAAAAACGTGCGTTGGCTTTGCTCTCTGCCTGGGTGTTTTCTCACACAGCTAAATTCTCCACACTTGGGTTCGACAGGGCACGAATGCTGTTGTTTCCTATCTGAGTGCAAGAGATCAGCAGCTTCAGGTTGGCGTTAGCTGCTGGTGGATGGGCACAGCCACGGGATGACGCGTTCGCCTTCGGGCCCCGCAGTGCCCCCTGATCGGGGTCTGCACAGGTAGCTCAGTCCTACTGAACTGATCGTGCCATGCGTGGCTCGCCTTCCACAAACAAAAGGAATCAATTCCAAAGGGTTTGGATTTCTGCTTGAGCACAATGCAAACCCCTCGTCCTCAGTGCTGCCTGCAAACCGAGGGCTGGTTTTATTCGCCATGATTCAATCTGTGACTTTCTGCTCTTTGGCTCAAAGAAAGGTGACTTCCTTCCTGGGCTTTTATTGGTTTTAATTTCTGGCTGACTTCTCGTAATCAACAACATCTTGGTGGGCTGCAACATGAAAGGAGAAATTTAAGAGAGAAAAAAAAAAAAAAGCATTTGGGAGGGAAGGACTCGTATTTTGAAATGGAGCATGTTGAGAGCCTGGCCAGCCCCTGGGCTAGCTGGGATTCCTGAAGCACCCCGGCTGCCCAGGGCTATTTCTCCGCTCCCGCTCCTGGGGGCGCCGTGAGGAGAACCCGCGCGCCGCGCTGAGCGGAGCCGTAATGGCGGGCGGCGGCGCGGGACCCTGCGACCCCGGCCCGCCTTCCTGACAGCGCTGCGTGCCGGCCTGTCAGCCCGGGCTCGCGGCGGTTGCTAGGCAGCGGCTCCTGGGGCCGAGGGCCGCGCTGATTGGTCGGGCGGCCGCAGCCTATCGGCGCGCGGGACGTTGCACGCCGCCTGCATACTGCTGAGCCTCTCGCCACCTGGATGTGCCGAGAAAAAGGCACGGTGCTGTGATACCTTTTTTTTTTTTTTTTAAATTATTTTTATTTTTCCCTCCACCTCCCCTTTCTGGTACTGTTTCCGTAACCAAAAAAAAAAAAAAAAAAAAAAAGAAAAAAAAAAAGCCAAAACAACAACAACAAAAAAAACCCGACCCTAAAAAAACCTCCAAACCAAAAAAATAAACCCAGTCAGGCCATGAAACGGAGACCGGAACAAGGAAAAGAGGTTAGTGGGTTAAGCGGTGTGCGTTTCCTGCGGCCGCAGGGCGCTGCAGCTCGGCCATCGCTCAGCGCCGGGCCGCGGGGCTGCGGGCGGGGGGCGCCGCCGGGAGAGCCGCACCGAGCGGCTGAGCTGACGGGTTGGGTGCCTGGCCATGCTGCCGGCCGCGGCCTGGCTGCCTCCTGCTACTGGGATGCCGAGCGATGGGAACAAAAAGGAGCTAGCTCGCCGAGCGAGGTCTCTGCCCCCCGCTCCTTGCTGGAATGGCAGCGGTGGCACGCAGGTGATGAGAGCTTTTATGGGCAAATGCGATTTTTCAAAACTTGGAGGCTATTTGCGTGCAACTCACGGTGAAGGTTATGTCTGAGCATGAAGGAGAGCGTGCAGCGGAGCATCCAGCGACGGGCGGTGCTGTGCTGCTTCTGACAGCGTAACTGCCAGCCTTCCTCCATTCCCCGACTCTGGGAGCTCCTGGTTGTCCAGACAGCAAACTCCAACTTGGAGATGCACTTTTTTCAGTTACAGGCTAATTATCATTACAGACAAAAACCTCTGTGCTGTAGACGCAAAAATATGATTGGTTGGAAACGGTGTTGCGCACGCAATACTCTGTAAATTAAGACATGAAAAATACGTTTCAGACTGATTCTGTTTTGTCCTTCGCTCTGCTTTCAGGTACTGTTTGATGAGTGTGAAAGGATGCTTCACTGATTTCCATATTGATTTTGGAGGCACTTCAGTGTGGTATCACGTTTTCCGTGGGGGGAAGGTAAGCGAACCTTGCTTGATGTTTGTTTTTATTCTTCTCTGCCTCTTATGGCGGGAAGGGGTTGCTTGCTTTTGTTTTTCTTTCACTTTTCTTGTTTGTTTGTTTGTTTTTTTTCTTTGCTAGTGGGTTGTCAGTCTGTTTCGGTTACCTTTGATGCAGATGCAGTTTGCAGAACTGGAAGGACACAGTTTGCCTGTATGAAACAAGCAAGAGATTTGTTGGAAATCTGTAATGCGCGTGTTGTTTGGCGGTGACTTTGTGCATGTTATTGCTGTGTGGTTAGAAGTGTCATGGGGAGTATGTGGCTGTGTGTACCCTCGTTGGGTCGTAGTGCCCTCGTAAGTCACCTTCTGTAGCTGGAGCTTTACTGTATCCTTTTAGAGATTTCATGGTCCTCCTGTGTGCACATTAAGCTGAGCTGAAGTGTTGCAGAATAGAGAAATGTTAAAATGTGAACATAGCCACACATGCTGTGTATCTTCACTGGTTTAGGTTGCTTTTCCTAATTGTAGTGTAGACAGCGTAAGGAGGGCACTGATATAAGTGGAACAGATTGATCATCCCTGTTGTGCAGACACCGTTAATCTCTGTGTGCAGTGAAGTTGTGCTATACCAACATACTGTTTTGAACTGAAAGTGAATTGTGCAGGCATCTTCTGAATGAAATGTTTTATGGAAGAGAGATGACAACTGACAGTTATCTTGCCACTTCCAGCACGTAATTGCTGCCGCTGTCTGCTCTGGACCTCAATGTACAATACCTGAAAAATGTGTTTTATGCAGAAAGCAGGCTTGGTGCTCTGCATTCATTTCTCTAACGTAGGATAAACTTCCTGGAATCTCTTAGCTGTGTATTTTTGTTGACTGTGGATAATAGTGACATCTTTGCTTTATTTTTAGATCTTCTGGCTGATTCCGCCTACTCTGCAGAATCTAGAACTTTATGAAGAATGGGTTCTCTCAGGAAAGCAAAGTGATATCTTTCTGGGAGACAGGGTGGAACGATGCCAAAGAATTGAACTGAAACAAGGCTATACATTCTTCATTCCTTCAGGTACCACTTGCTAACTGTTTTTGGAATCACTGGAATTGTGCTTGGCTCTCTGTAAAACAGTTCTTCACATCTAAGGCCTGTGCTGAGCTCTTTATTCTCTGTGGCAAGGAAAGGCGAGGGGCTGAATGCGTTTGATTTCCCAGGAATTGTCTCGTTGAAACTGAGGATGTACATGCAGTGATCACTTGAGGGAGGCCCTGGCTCTCTGAGGCTGTCAGTCCACCGCTGCTCAGAGGTGCTGTGACTATTGTTACTGCTGTTGGTTTTCTTGGAAAAACACTTTTCTGTTTTTGTTATTCCGAGGTAAAACTGCTGTTAAGTATATCCAGTGACCAGTGATCTCTTCTGGCAAGATTAACCCGTGCTTGTTATCTATGACTTTGCCACTGTCTGTGGTCTGAGGTGGATTGATTCCTGATGGAGCCCAGTGGAGATTGCGCTGTGTGGAGGAGCAGGTGTTACACTCCATCAAAGTTGCTTTGTGGTGAAACAATGTTATTTAACGGTTATAATTCTTCAGGACTTGTGCTGATGGAGGGTGTGCTGGGTATGGACGCCTGCCAGTAGTGCAGGCGTGCCATGATTTTACACTGCTGCCTGCCTCAGTGGCTAGGTTGCACGACTCAGCCTCTTCCTGCATAGCAGCCAAACAGTTGCTGCTTTGAAGGCTGATGTCTTCAGACCTTTATTCTGCTGCCTAGAATGGATTAAGGATGGTGCAATCTGTAACGCTCTTCATTTCAGGCGATATCAGGCTTTGCTCTGACTATTATGGGTCTGCAAGCTTCTTTATAATGATATAATACATTGCCTCTGTCTAGTGGAGCTTACCAGGGAAATAAGTATTGATAGCCTTTTTACATGACAGAAGGACTGCTTGGTAGTTCTTCAGCTTCTAGAATTACTTTGCAGAGATAAGATTGTGACAGTTTTTTTTAGTCTTAGAGGTGGATAGTATGCAGGTCATGAAAAGACATTGATAATGTTCTTGCTAACTAGGGAGCATTATTAGTATCAACCGAGGTCTGCAAATTTGCACATTTGTAAGTATTTGGTCAGAATCAGCTTGGGGGTGACAGGTAAAAGGACCTGGAGGGTGGAGGAGTTAATCCATTAAAGGAATTAGGTCTTCCCTTGAAACAGGTCAGAATGTGCTGTTACTGTTTGAACTGGGTGTTTGAGTGTGCCTGTGCTGTTTGCTTAGATCCGTTTCTGCATCTTCATGTTTATCTTTGTTCCCTTGTGAGCAGCCTCCTACGAATAAGACTTTCTGTGTGTTAGTTTAGTCACACTCAGCAGCTGGAATACAGCAAGTTGTGGGAGATTATACAGGACACAACTGCAGCATGGTGGCTGAAGTGTTCCCACACGTTTTTTTGACTATAGTTTCTGTTTTCTTAGGAACACCCCTAGCACAGAAATGCCAATACCTCAGCTGTTGTAGGCCCCATGGCATGTTTGAAAGACAGATACGAATAACTTCTCCTTAAGCACCTGATGGATTTCAGAGATTTTTGTTTCTCTGTATATCGTTAGAAACCTTCACAGATCTCTTATGCGAAACAGCAATATTGTCACGTTAGTTAAAAAGGTAGAAAATGCCTGGTTGAAATTGGTCCAGGTCAAATTGAGCGTAGCCTTGTCAGAGAGGTCAGTTCTTGTGACCTTTGCTGTCATTTGTGAGAGTATCACACTGGTTTGTGTTAGGATGTGTTTTGTATGTGCTTTGTAGCTCTTAGTGCTTGGGCTTTGGTAATGGGTGCCTATAAAACCAGTCTGTCCCATGCTTTCAGTTGAGCCTGATAAACTCTTAACCAGCCTCAACTTGGGTGCAATGGCTTGTGCTCAGAAAGTGTGGAATGGTAAAATTAGTGCTCAGCTGGACTGTGAATGAAGATCATCGCAGTGAAGGGCCTTTTGCATAAAATATCCTGCTGTGCTCTCATTTTCAAGTCATTTTTGGGGGTGGTCCTAGCAATGCTGTTATATCATCACAGTGCAAAGGATGAAGCAGGTAGAGAAGGCTGTAACAAGACACATGGGGGAGTAAGATCATAGGCTTGTGGGAGATGGAAGGTTTCTTTGAGAATCTAGGATCAGCAGTAGATCCAGTAAATCCTTGAAACTACAAAGCAGTTGCACAAGAATGGGAGTTATTCTTTCAGAAGGCATAATTATAGTGCTCACCAGGGCCTCGGGGTATTTCCCTCTGCATCACTGCCTTCGTCTTTTCAGGATTAGGCTTAAACCAGTTAATTTCTACCTATGCTCCTAACCCTGGAAAGCTCTGAGAGGCATGATCACAGCTGTGGAATCAAGGAGAAAATTGTCCAAGTATTATCAGCATAGTGAGTCACTGTGGGTCAAGGTGCACCTTGCAGTATTTTAGGAGGCCCTCTCAGCTATGGGCTTGGGGGAAGTTAAGCTGGGATTCTGAGGGATGCTGAGTCTGTTGCCTTGCATAGGACCCAAGCTGCACATTTCATGGCACTGTAGGGCTCTTCCCAACAAGTGATGCGCTGTTACAAGCTCTCACCTCCTACTTTACCAGTTCCCACTGATGAGTCAAGGATGATCAACTCTGGTAAAGTCTGCAGTAAAGTGGTAATTTAACGAAGAATGTGGCCTTTTCTGTTAGTATAATCTAAACTGATGTCAACATTTAATTGCCAGTTGACAAATAAACCTCTTTCTGATGTGCTGAGGATTGTAGCCAGACTAATGTTCAAGATGTGAGAGCAGCTGAGAGATCAAGAGGAGAAGGAAGCAAGAGTTACTGTCTGTGTTAGCACAATTTTTTTTTCCCTGTAGAAATCTGGTTTGTTTTCCTAGGATGGGAGATCACTTGTCCTTGTTAATAAAGACATTAGTAAAGAATGCTGTGGCCCTAGGCTGTGAGCACTGTGTATGTTATCACAAGAAATATTTAATCCTTCAGATGGCTCAGTGTTCAACACGGATGAAATGTGGGGAAGGTAAAGCGTCTTGCTGTGAGGTAGTGTACAGTGGATGCTGCATATCTGATCCATCTGCCAACCAGAAGGGGCATTTATAGAGTGCTTCTCTTTTGAGGTGTAAACTGTGATGTTCCCAAAGAGGAAGAGCGTAATCTCAGTGTGCAGCTGTTGTCTCAGCAGGGGCACACAACAGTGTCATCAGTCACAAGTGTAGAGCTTGTCCAGAGTTGTTTGTGCTGTTAGCTGTACAGGGAGTGTGTTCAGCGATGGTTTGCACTGGGGATGTGCAAGTGAGAGCACTTGGATACTCTGAGGTGTAAACTATGGAGACAGCATTCAGGTGTCTCTGATGACTGTGTGAGGGGCAGGCTGAGCTGGCCTTTGGGCAGCATCCCCCTGATTTCTGCCACTCAGGATTACTGGAAGCACTTTCTCTGGCTTGTATGCAGCCACTTGTTCTTCACTTAGATGATGACTGCTGCTTCTCTGCAGCCTGCTAGAAAAGCACTGCTCACTAAGTCAGGGCAGATGTGTTAGCCTGCTCTTGACTGCTTTTAGTGCTTGTCCTTTTGCTTTGAAAGTAAATAGCTTTCCTCTTTTACGCCACCAAATGACTTCAGTGGACCCTGTTCTCTCCCTACTTCTTACCCTTTATCTTCTCCAGTCCCCATGCCCTGTAAACCACCTTTTGCTTCTTTCCTTGTGCTTTTTTTTTTTTCCTTCTGAGTTGTTTGTTATTAAAGTGGTGCTTTATGTGTGGAATTCTCTTCTCATCTTGTTTCTCAGAATACCATATTCATTCCTCTTGTGTTCTTCTAAACTTGGCTCCCAAGCTCAAAATTAAGCTTAACCAAAATGAAAAAAGTCGTCCTTTTTCAATCCAGGTGCTCTTTTATCTGTCGTTTTGATGGTAAGTGTTCAGGGATCTGATGGGGTATCGTCTGTGTTGTCCTCTACGGGCAAGATATTGCAGTGGCATGAGATATGCTAAGGTCATTTGTTTCTTTCTAAGAAAAAATTCCATAAATGTTTTGAAACCCTCCACTATACAAGCCGTTGTGAGCTGTTTGGCTCGTCCTTACAGCTGTAGGTAGCAGTCCAAGCGAGATGCCATCCGTGGTGCAGGAAGTCACTGCACATTTCCAAGAACTGAATGATGTGCTGCCATTTGATGTTGTCGAAGACTTCTGCAGCACTGATTTATGAGCCTTTCCCATGATCAAAATCTGGAGAAGATAACCTGCTGGCAGCTGGCATGGTGTGCCTCTCTGCTTTCTCTTAAGCTTCTCTCTGGTGTGGCTGCACGTTTCTCTTACAAAAGCTGTGCTTCACCTTGGAGTTTGGCAGTCCTCCATGGAGGAGAAAAGCCGTTTGTGTTGCTTTACTTTTAATGTTCTTTATAATGTGCCGTGGGGCCTTGCACATGGAAAGATGCTATTAAAATCTCTTAATTTCTTGAGAGATGAAAAATGAGCCACAGTCGAGCAAAATATTCTCATTGTTCTGTGATGATTGTTATGGTAACTTGAGAGTGCTCCAAACTTCTGGTTTTCAGTCAAATGCAGAAATAATGGCTTTTCTTGGAAGAATTTTTTTGGGGAAGGAAAACGAACAGAAAGGGATGTTCTGTGCTAGACTGTAGGCAGCAACCAGCAAGGATGCAGAGCGCTGCAGATACGGCATCAGCGGTTATCAGCGCGGTTCTGCCTGCTGTAAGAGCGCGGTCCAAGTGGCCTCTGCTATGCCAGCCAGTATTTGATGGATTATTGTGTAATGGGGCCAGAAGGTAGCACGCAGTCTTTCTATCAAGGAGGATGTTGGGCTATTAAAATCTGACTGGTAAATATTTTTTTGCAGGGAGTTGTGCTAGGGCTGTGTAACTGCCTGGCTATTTTCGGTTGCTGTTTGCTTTTTCCATCTCAGGAGCTTCCCCTGACATTAATGGAAGCTCCATGCCTGGAACCTGTGGGGATCGAGCGATGGGGATCAGTGAAGAGCATCACCGAGGAGAGTTTTTGCCTCGATTGTCTGCTTTCAGATAGA